ATGGATTTTATACATTAAACATGGTATTTTGAAGTATGCCCACTAATAATTAAATAAGCCAAATCTGTGGGTAAAATTTAACCATAGTGCTATTATTTTCCATTTCTCCATTTAATATGCTCTCTTTGTCCTTCTCCAATAGAGCTGAGTGGAAAATGGGACAATTAGAGGAACAATGACAAACTTTGCAACGGGACCACTGTGCTGTGTGGCCTTGGACAAGTCACCTCTTTCAGCCTCAGGTTCTTCAAATGTGAAAAGGGGGAAAGGATACTTAAGGATAAAATAACATGTATAAAGCACATGGCAAGTGGAAGGTACATGATCAGTGGAGGCTGTTATCATTCCTTTAATTATACTGCTCAGCTCATATCTACTTTGACAAAAGGTGATGACTATGGTGTCCTAGTAACTGATCAGTATATGAAGACATGAAGATAGAATAATAACAGATGGTTTTAGATCACCCTTAGAGTTCAGAAGTTGGTCATGTTTATATTCTTCAAACAGTGTACATGTGTTCTGGTCTTGGGTCCTTTGCATTAGATACCAATGTTTATGAGGCTGTTTCCTCTTGTCATTCAAATCTAGGTTAAATGCTATCTCCTTACAGAGTTTGACCATCTCTTCTAAAACACCCACTCATGATGACATCACCCATTCTATTTTCATTACTGACATCTCACTTATTGGTATTTGGGATGTTTACAACATTTTTTAAAAAAACTATTTCTTTGCACTGGACTATATAGTCCACAAGAACAGGGATCTCTTCAGCCTGATCACTGCTCCTACAATGATGCCTTACATGTGCTAGGTGCTCAATATATACTTGTTCAAACAATGAATGCACGTTTCCACTCAGAATTGGAATCATAGTCTATTTTAAGGTTTATTCTGCTTCGTTTCTTCTGACCTACTGTTCTATTTTAGTATCAACTGCCTCGTTACATTAGAAAAGGATAAGGTCTTTACTTCTGACTACATTCCGTTTCTGTCTTTATGTCGCTGGTTCTTTTATTGGTGTGGGTCATTTCCTTTTCTTAATGCGAGGGTGAATACACTAGAGTCTTTACTGTTCATAGTCTGTTCTTTGTCTTGAATTCATCCTGAATTTTGCTGGATAACAGTTCATTAATTTCTCATTAGAGCCTCTTGAGGCCTCAGCTCCCACTAGATTTTGAATTAAGATTTTTCAATTTTTAACATTTTTCTATTCTTTCCCTCTTGTGATTACTTTTCCTTTGCATATTTTTATCTCTGTGTTAATCGTGGTGACACAGTCCGGGAGAGAACCCCTTATTTTGGGGGGAGGATGGGAAAATGGTATACGCTCAGGGGACCTGGGGACAAATTTGCTGTACACGGTGGCAGAGCGGCAGAGCAGAGCCAGAGACGGCCACTGACAAGTGAGGTGAGATGAGAACAAAGACGGAACGAGCAAGGTCATGTGTGAAGGGGAGTCGCATGGAGTGCTCTGTCATCTCTGCTCCTTCAGAATGGGACTGTTGCCAAAACTGATTGACTGGGACCAGAATGAGAGAGAGAGGAAAGCCATGGCCCCGAGAGCAGGATCATTCAATTCCCTGAGAGTGAATGAAACCTGCGATCTCATTTCATCTGGTGGCAGGAAATGGCATTAACGGTCAATGTGATACATGGACTCAGTTATGGGAAAAGATTTCCTACCAACCAAAGTGTGAAGAAGTGAGAGCAACTATTTTTCACTATAAACATGGAAATTAGACTTTGTCAAGTAATGGTCCAATCTACAATTTAACATGCTGGAATATGAAACTACAAGATGTCTAAAATTATTCCCATCTGTCATCTTCTTGAAACAAACATAGCTTTTCAGAACCACACTCTGCATGGGATAACCAATAGCCTTTATTAAATGTGGATTTTACCTCACATTTCGGTAATTTAATTTAATTTTGTTGGCTATGAAAAAATAAAAAACATCATTTTAGTACTGTTAATCTTCATTTCTTTGGCGATAGCTTGATGTAAAGTATAAAAGAGTTCCAAATAATAGATTGTATCAATCAAACTTATGAGATAGCAACAATTCAGAAGCATTGTATATGCAAAAGATATAAAGATCTGCTAAAGCTATTGCTAAGGACTAAGGATAATTATGTTTTTCTTAAATGAGAGAAAATTACAATCTTTGTTACTAAATTCATGCACACTGCAGAAACGTTAAAATGATTTGAGGCTTCTTTTCTCCCCACGAAGAAACCATACTCTTTGCACCTGCAGTGACCTTATGTGGCCTCCAAAGAGTAAACTCGTGACTACTCAATACAATAGTAAAACTAAGTGTGATATACAATACTTGCTGGACCTCTGGTGGCAGCCAGGGAGGTGATTAGAAATAAAAATAACTGTGAAGCAATTTGGTTTCAGTATTTAATCTCAAAGAAAAATTGACCAGAGACTCTTATTGAGCCAAACTTAATGACTCAATTACAATTCCTTTTCTTTCTTTGATGGAAAAGAAATAGTAAAGAAGAGGGGAATGGCCAACCTGTAACACTCACACAAAGGAAGAAGAAATTAGGTAACCTAAAAGTTATCAAAACACCACTTTTCATAATAGCATTAAAAGAAGCATACCAGAAGGCAGAGGAGTTCTAAGTATAAAACAATTTCGAGTGTTACAGGCTAGAATGGGAGTCACTATTCTCTCTCTCTCTCTCTCTCTCTCTCTCTCTCTCTCTCTCTCTATTTATCTATCTCTATTTCTCTGAATATGGAAGGCAGACAGATGGATCCATAGTAACATAGGTTAGAATTGATGGTGGCCTACGAGTAGACATGGACAGAAGATTAAAGAGATGTTCAGGAAAGCTAACAATCAACATGAATTATAAATTATTAAATTTGATGTTAAGTAGAATTTAGTAGTATATTGAGGTTGGCTTATAAATATTTGTCAAATCAATAAATGAGAAAAGAAAGGTTTATGGCTTGGGTATTGGGTGACTGGTGGTGCATTGATTTCTTAAAGAACTTAGTGAGTTCATCTAGATAGGTCCCTTCCCTAGCCCAAGGCCACATTAAAGATGCCACTGTATCAGCTATAGTATTTTCAGAGTTGTATATAAGTTAGGCACTAGAGCAAGAAGCAGGGTTTATTATTTTTAAAAGAAGAGGAAGGGAAGGAAGTAGGTCAAACCCTGACAATGGAGACAAAGGACAGTGAAGACCAAATGAGCTGATCAGTTCAAAGGTGATGTGTTTTTTATTTGTATGCTCAAAACCAAATACAATAAGGAAGGAATCTGGGTGAGGGAACCTCTTTTACTTTTAAACAGAGCTGGTAGATGTGTGTGAGTGTGTGTGTGTGTGTGTGTGTGTGTGTGTGTGTGTGTGTGTGAGAGAGAGAGAGAGAGAGAGAGACAGAGAGAGAGAGAGAGAGAGAAACAGAGAGAGAGAGAGGACAAGTACATACATTGGGCCATGACAACCTGTTTGGATGTCATCAGTTCATCAGTGTGTATGATACTCCTTTTTCTGATCAGGCTTCAGGAGTGTCGAGATAATCTCTCCAAACAAGTTCACTTGTATTAGTAACAGAAGTAAAGATAGAAACCATTAGAAGGTAAGGTTTTGGGATGCAGATAAAAATAAATAGTATCTGTACATGGAGAAAATGTTCTCTTTTTGGAGCATAGCATGACCCTGTTTTTAGTCCTGCTATGTGCATATGTCTGTATATACACAGATATAATTTTTACAAATACTTTATCATGTTATTTAGCTCCCCTCAAATTACATGCTCATTTGATTTCAAATCTCTACTTTGTTTCTTCCCCTGAAGTGTCTTTTTCCTTCCCTACCTGAACCCTATCTTCTTCAAAACCCAACTCTAGCCCAAGCCTTTCAATAAGATTTTCCTTGAGTATTAGTTTATTGACTTCTTCTATCTCTGAATTTAAATCATAGACAAGTATTTCGTTCTATGTACCCTCTATTCTCCTGAGCTCAAGCACAAAATGTTTGCATTCGGGAGGTTCCCAATAAATTACTGTTTGGTGAATTAGTGAAGAAAATATGGGTTCACTCCCCCAGTAATGGAACTTTTGGCTTCCTCCCAGCATTCACTCCATTCCACCCTCTCACATCATGTTAGAGCCACTGGCTGGGTGGGGTTGACCCTCTGCTAGTTCCAGGAATGGGCCTTGGTTGCCTAAACCAGTCCGCATAATTCCATCCCTCTGGCAACAGTGATTTGTTCAAGTGTAGACCCATGATCTGACCTGGCCCAATCAGAATGAAGCTTAGGATGTTTGCTAGTTTGTAGTAGGGAGAAGTTCTGACTCTTTATGGATCTTGTGATGTGCAGATGTTATTACTGGAACTGTTGCAATCAGTTTGCTAATGTGGGGGAAGGCAGCCTGTAGGGAAAGCCAGGAGAAGTCAAAGCATCACTGAGAATGGGAGTCAGTAGTCTGGCCAAACCATGCGGAAGCCACTACCACTGCTGGAGGCTTCAGTCATTTCAACCAATAGACTCCCTTTATAGTTTAAGCCTGATAATGAGATTTTCTATAACTAATATGCCTCCCTATTGTTTGTTGAGTTTCTCCTATTTTTAAATCTTTGGGATACAATATGTAATTTGTCTTCTTGCAACCTAATTCATTTAGGGAAATACATAGCAGCAATCTTGGATAACATTTACTAGCCTAGTAAGATCATTATATATTTTTGATGCCTATGTCGATTCTAACCAAAGTCATGCTCACAAGTGGTAAAATAATAAATTGAGAACTGTTTCTATCACAATTTCTGCTCAAGGCGATCAGTGTTCTTAGGCGTTTAGAATTGATATTGATTTATTTTATTAATTAATATCAAATATTTCCTGAACATTTACATCCATTCTAATTGTGTGTGGATAGACATACATTGCGTGCAGGTACTTTGCGAAAGATGAGCTTCTGCTTAATATTCCTCAGGGTTTATGGCAATATATTAAATGTCGCTACCTTTTCGATGAAACTGAAGAGACCCCAGCAGACATATGGATTTTAGCATCTCTGTTGTGTACATTTCTAAGCAGCACTGCAGCTGGATATAAAGCCGACAGATTTCTGGATGAATCTCACCACCTTCCGGGCTGCAACACAATGAAAGAGAAAAGCTGTGAACATTCTCAGGATTTCACTCATCAGCCATTCGCCTTAGCTCTGAGAGGAAAAGGTGCTCAATAATGCTTCCTTAAATCTTTGAGTCTAAAATTTAGGACTTCCTGCTTTCAAACCAATGACCAATTTCATAGTTCTTACGTAAGTGTCTTTCTGACTAACAGCTCTTAATTTTTTCCCCCCTTCAGCAGCAGATTTCTGCTGGGAGCTGAAAATCATAAATGTTTTAAGTAATTGAAAATATCAGATATTTTCAACGTAACTATTGGAACAAATTCCAAAATATATTTAAACCATAAAAATATCCTAGCTTGCAAGAAGAGATTAAAACCTCTTATTTTCAGAGAGACAAATGAAGAGCTAGTCAATTGCCAGTGGTGAGATTGTTCTTTAATAATTAAGACCCTAGCATATGATTAGAGAGCCAGATACAGATTATTTTTATCGAAGGCTTTTGTTTCTTGTCTAAAGGATGTTCCTTTATTGTTTGCTATGGTTAATTTATGAGAGGCCAAAAGTTTTTAATGAAAAAATAAAATTTTTATGAAAAAAGAGAAAAGTTATAAAATTCTAATAATTACACCTAACAATCTAGTGCTAAATACTGAACTTATGTTTTAAAATTTATTCTACAGTCCTTGAGCCTTTCTCTATTAACTACGATAAAAATATAAATGTGAATATGACAGCCCTAGCTGGTTTGGCTCAGTAGATAGAGCATCGGCCTGTGGATGCTGATACTCTATCCACTGGGGGACATGCAGGAGGCAGCCAATCAATGATTCTCTCTCATCATTGATGTTTCTATCTCTCTCTCCCTCTCCCTTCCTCTCTGAAATCACTAAAATATATTTTTTTAAAAAATGTGAATATGATAAAACACAAATGATCACTTTTATTTTTTGATTAAGAAAAGAGGAGTTAGTTGGCAATAAAACTCTTTTTTTAAAATCCTCACCCAAGGATATTTTCTTCATTGAATTTCAGAGAGAGTGGAAATGGGGGTGAGGAGTAGGAGAAAGAGAGAGATCGAAGGGAGAGAGAGAAATATCGATGTGAGAGCGACACGTCCATTGCTTGCTTCCCACAAGCATCTGACTAGGTTGGGGTGAACCTGCAACCCAAGTGGTGCCCTAGGCCAGAATTGAAACCGAGACCCTTCGGTGCTCAGGCCGACCAGGGCAGAACTCTTTCTTTTATATACAAGTAAACTAGCATGTGTTGAATAAAGCAAACTAAACAAAAGGGATAAAGTTTAGAGCTAGATTTAAAATGGAAGAAGCTTACAAGTGAACTCTGTCAATTGTCCTAATGTGTTATTTTTATTTCTACCCCATTCATTTAAAATGCAGTGAAATCTGATGAAATAATGCAGTGTTTGGATTTGATTCCTTTGGAAAGTGGGTCAGTGGCAAAATGTCTGGGGTAATTATCAGGAGAAAAATTGAGGCTTCAATTTTTAAATTCTGGATGTAAAAGGAATTTGTATTTACGCCGCACTTTACAATGACAGTTTTCATTTTCAATACTTATTTAGTGGAGGAGCCAGAGTGTGTCTAACTTTGTGGCTTACATAACCCCCAAAAATGCAACATTCTTTGCTTCAGCGCCAGTGAGGTGCACACTCATCCTGTGTCTTTCCTGTGTCAGAAAGAACAAAGTGTCTCAAAAGAGCTTCTATGCAAAATGTGGCTTTAGCAGAAAAATAAAAGACTACAATACTCTCTCATTTGTGTCTCAGGGTTCTAGCCCTAGGCCAACATTGGGATCAAGCATATCTCTAGTAGAAGTTTCTGGATTTTCTTTCAGAGCTTCCTCCCATGGGTGCCTCCCACCCTCAGGCTGGATCCCATACTCCTCCACCACACACATAAGGTCTCATTATTTCATAGCATCTGAGCCTTTCAAAAAGTCTCTGTCTGTGGCCCATCCCCGTATGGCCCCACTAGACTCTGAAGGGATACTGTGCATTACTAGTTGGTGTAATCAAAAGTCGTGCTGTATGTTACCTGCTAATACATTGACTCTGATAGAAAAATGTGAAGATAGTGTCTCATCCCTAAGGCAGGTTAGAGGGAAAATACTTTAAGGCAGGCAGGTCTTTTCTGTGCTGCTTCATCGTCCCAATCCTAGCTGCCTATTTTCACCTACGCATAACATTGGCCCTGGTGGCTCATATGCAGATTTAAAAAACCACCTATAGTAAATCTGTTGTATGTATTGTACATTTGATGAGTGGGACAATTAGCGAGGACAGTATCATTCCAAGCCATGGAGTATTCTTATTTTCAAAGATATAAAATATGTGCTTAGTGGCTTAGTTCCAAACATATGCAAACCTCATAGATAGATGACATTTAAAGTAATTTAAAGAAATGACTAGAGTTAATATTCTAGTCATAACTTCAGAGCCAGTATGTTTTGTTTATTATTTTGTAGCTAGACAGAGAGAGCTAAAGCAATGCATTAAGTGCTTCTGTAAAAAGGCAAATCGAAACGGAGATTAAAATGCCTAATTCATAGCATTTCCTTGGGTGCCATCTCCCTAATGCCTCTGTAACCAATGGCGATTCCAGGAACTGTGGAACCATTTCGCCCTTTGTAGCTGTTATGGGAAGGAACTAAATAGGTGCCACTGGAAGTGGAATCTGCCAAACTAAAATTAATTGTTGCTAAAGTTGCATTACACATTTCCTAGTTAGAAACTTCATACATATACTCGTGGATTATCCTTTGAGAACTTGGAAAAATTGAGAAAGAGAGAACTAGTTAAAGAGCAGTGGAAACGTTATCTTTCATGTCAGTGATTCATGATCCCTTGACCGGGTTCCATTAGCCTCGAGACTTGTATATTGTATTTTTCCCACGTTAGAGCACTCAGCTGTATTGCTAATTACTAAAGGTTCATTAAAAGGCAAATTGTCAAATGGGTTATACTATGTTTAATGTTATAAGCAGTGAACTGAAACACAGTTTTGAGAAGCATTAAGAACATTTAGGTTATTTTTATAACAAATGAGCAAGAGTCGAGCATGGGGAATGGAGGAAAGCCAAGAAGACAGCAATTTGAAAGTTTGAAACTTCCCAGGGATAAATGGTAAAGCCTAAGGAAACATTTACATTAATGTACCCGCCTGGTGTGCTCAGTGGATGAGCATCGACCCTTGAACCAGGAGGTCACGGTTGGATTCCGGTCAAGGGCACATGGCTGGGTTGTAGGCCCTATACCCAGGAGGGGGCATGCAGGAAGCAGTCAATCAATGATTCTCTCTCATCATTGATGTTTCTATCTTTCTTTCCCTCTTCAGTCTGAAATCATATTTTTAAAATAATAATTTTAAAAAGGAAATGGCAGCAACTTAACTCAGAGCTAACTTTACCGAATATCACTTAGACTTAGTCTACAATGATTCATTCTTCTTAAAGTTTAGGTCTATGAGACATTCCTGAGGTGACTGATGCTCATTCAATTCAGACAAAAGAAATTTTATCAGTTAGCGACTAGGTTGTGATTATTTATTTTCTTATGAGCATAAGTCAAAAGCTAAACTGATCATTTTGATTATGTTGAAAGCCTCAGTGTAATAGGAAAACACCCTAGAAATGAGCGTCAACAATAGTTCAGTGATTTAGAGCTCATGTTGAATGCAAAAACATTTAAAATAACTGCCAAATAATGTATCTTTCAAATAATTCCTTAAAGACGAGAATTAGGATTTAATGTCTTTAATTATCCGACTTAAGAAATCTGCACTGATATAGTAACAGGGGTACATGTGTATGGATATCGCCTCAATCATCCCTTGGTGATAGAAACACTTTCTATTGTGGATATTCTTATTTCGTAATTCAAAAAAGACTGACCAAGCCAACCATCAGTGACGATGTGCAGCAACAGAGACTCTCATGCATTGTTGGTGGGGGTTAAAATGGTACAACTCCTTTGAAAATAGTTCTGAAAGTTTCTTATAAAACTAAACATACACCTGTCCTATGACCTGGCAATTCCATTGCTAGGTAATTACCCAAGAGAAATGAAAACATTCACAAAAAGATCTCTATAGGAGTATTCACAGTAGTTTTATTTAGAATAACCCAAAACTGGAAATAGGCCAGGTGTCTGTCAAGAGGAAAGTGGATAAAGAATTCAGTATATTTCCACAATAGAGTAATACTGAAGTATTAAAAGGAATGAACTCCTGACACACGAAACAACACAGATGAATCTCAAGAACATGATCTTCAGCGAGAAAAATCCCATAACACAAAAGAGTAAATAAATCATAACACCATTTAAATGAAGTTGTAGAACAGATAAAACTAATTAATAGTGACAAATATTAGAATAGTGATGGGAAGGGGCATGAGGGGAGGAAACTTTCTGGGCTGAGGGTAGATAGAGATTTGAGTGTATTCATTTGGCAAAACTTACTGAATGGTTCACTTAAGATTTATGTATTTGCTTATAAGAAAATTGTACCTAAAAAGAGAACCATAAGCATGTATTGACCTCTAGTTAATAATATGCATGCTGAACTGTTCAGGAGTAAAGTTTACTGATGTCTGCAACTTCAGAAACATGATGTGAATTTCTGGCTGGATAGAGGGATGAAAAGACAGGTAGATATGTGGTAAAGCGAGTGTAATAAAACGTTAATTGTAGAATCTAGGTGATGGGTATTTTCTTGATGTCCAAGGATTTTCATTTCCCCAACTATTTTCATGGCATAAATTGAACAAAACAACGGAGAAGCTTTATGGCTAGTGAGGTCAAGTTTAGGAGAGAACACACTGGGGATTTCAGTTACAAAATGCCTTGGCCCTGTGTCTGCTTTTTTGCCGAATTTGCCAGACTTTGGTGTTCTGAGCAGCTACTAAAAGCTTTTTGAAAACCAGCAAATGTTTGTTGTTTTGAAAGTCTGTCCCTAATGTAGTGGTTTATATATTTAGTTGAAGGCAGCAAAACATAATA